TTTTTAATAGTTAAATAGTTATTTTAGTAGTTGTTTGGAGTAACACAAATATTGGTCAAAGTGTTAGTGATTTGGCTTTTTTCCAACTTTTTATAATTGCGTCTGAGAAGTAGAAGGAGGAGAAAAAGGAGGACGAAAGGGAGGAGGAGACAAGCAGTTTTCTCCTCTGAAGAAGAGGAACCCAGTAATAAACACTGGTATCGGATAAAACCTAAACGATACCCATTCCTAGTCATAACACACCGCTCCAGAGAGAGAGAACAGCAGGAAAACAAAGAAAGAAAAGGACATGTGCAAGGCTTCCAGCCTGGGCTGCTGGCACAGGACAGACTGTAGCCATGAATTTATGCTGACCCTGTTCAACAGAACAAACCATTTTTTTTATTTATTTATTTTTTTTTTAAAGGGCGTAAAGCATCAACCAACTACAAAGCAATGACCAATTTGCTTTTTTAAGTGAAAAAGATCTTAAAGTATAGATTTCTGTATCCTGCATAGTGCTGAGTAAAAAAAAAAAAATCATCTCAGGAGATTCACAGTTTCAGAAAACCAGACACCAGAGCTGTGACACTGCAGGAGACCAGAGACACGAACAGCAACTGTCAGAAACTATGGATTTTTTTTCAGTTTCCCCTGCTTTTGTATTGGTACAAGCTAAATGTGTGCTCTAGGCTCTAAAAATGAAACGGACATGTTTTCATCAGATTCTCAGTAAAGCTCCATAAATGTAATTTCAGCCTGTTACAGATGAAAGTTGACAGTCATGAGTTTGGCCTTTGCTCTAAAATAGAGCTCACTATACAAGTGTTTATTAGATGAGCAGAAATAAAGGAGTGAATGGTGGAGTGATTCCACAGCAGGACTTCATTCTTCAGAGAAATTGCTATTGTTAAAAATCTGGTTTTAAACAAAATGAATGTTTTGAATTGAAGAACTATTCTGAGAAATGAAAAACATCAAAAGCTGAACACGGACGTCAGCTCCGCCACTCCTTCCTCCTCCTCCCTCCTCTTGGGGTTGTGTAAGTCGAGCTGTCAGTCTTATTTCTAACAGGATGATGACTTGCATACTTTCCTGTCTTCCCTGCTCCCCCTGCCTGTCTCTCACTGTCTAAATACTCATCAGTCTGTTATAAAAACACCGACTTCTGTCTCCTGTCTTTATGTGAACATGTTGTTTCTTGCTTTTATGTAACAACCTGAAACACAGATCTGCTAACTTATATTTCCCTCACCTCTGACTTGCAAATCCAAAACAACAACAACATTTATTTATACTGCATCCGAGGTAAAAGTAAACACATCATAACTGGATGTGTACATTTGATGGTGCTCTCACATAAACAAAAAGTTAAAAGCAAAAGCCAAGTTGTAGCTTAGAGTTTACTCAGCATCTCTGATGTTTTAGCTTGCTTTAGCTCCTGGGTTCTGTTTCAGTGTGCTTTCACACCTACAGTTTATTTAATCTGGTTTGAATCAGTGCATGTTCTGGACGAGTGGATAACAATGATAATTTTACTCCAAACATCCAGCCAATATTTCAGGCAAAACCATACATAGCAGGCTAGTTGCTACAGTTTCTGTACTCTGTAGTCAACCACAAAGTATACAAGGCTACTGGAAGACGTTTAGCTTGAGTCAGTCAAGGTTAGCATAAACTAACTAAGCAAAAAGACCCTATGCAATGATGCAGATGTGGACATTGGCCTTTCCTAAAATTTGTTTTTACCCCAAAGTGGCCCAAAAAACCCAAAACCAATTAATGCACCTTTAACCTCCTAAGACCCGAACTCTTTCACGACATGCATTTTTAATTTCTCTTTGATATTTGGGCATATTGGGGCCCGATGAATGAGAAAACAAAGAATTACCAGATTTTTTTTAACCTTATTTTTGTTTTTAAGAAAAATAAGAGCCACATATGAGGATATTTGTTTAAAATTTTGATAGAACAGTAGCAGTATTATGTCCTCGTAAGTGGATATCAGGCCCATGTAGAGCAAAATTGAGTATTTTAGTCTAAATAACCAAAAATGTGATGTCCACATATGTGGATACAGGGTCCGAGGAGGTTAAAATAAGCTGCAGATCAGGCTGTCACTCACTACTCATGACTATAGAACATCCTATTACACATACAGCTGTGTGTGATGATAGTAATACTGTGCGAGTGAGTTTCCTGCTCGCTGCTGACTCTGCGTTAATGCTCATTCTGAGGATCCTAATACAGGAAGTGAGGATTAAGTGAAAACGGCACACACTCTTTTTCTGTATCCATCCCTGGAGATTTCTTTCTGATGGTGAGAACGGAGCTTACATAACAAACAACAACACACGCATGTATGTCTGGGATCTAGGGAACCAGTGGACGGGTATGAGAATGTTCTGGAAAAGAAGAAAGCCTCCAGGAACCTGAGACGGGCCAGAAACTGTTAAAGGAGCAGTTCATCTTAGACACCCATCTGTAACTTTCATACATTTAGCTTTGAA